CGTTGTCCTCCAGTTGGTGAAGAGGAGGCTATTGGTATTGAAGAAGCTGGGGCTGTTGTCTTTCTGCACATCTTGTAATACTTAGCTATAAAAAGGAGGGAGGAAAAAAAAGAAAGAAAAAAGAGAGCAAAAGCAAACAGCTGCCACTCCAAAAAATAAAAAAGGAGAAAAATCTTCAGGCCCTTGTACACCTTAATGCAATTGGTTCCAGTAATATGCAAAAAGAAAAGGGAAGATGTGGAAAAAAAGATAAAAAGGATTAAAAAAAAAAGAGGATGAGGGAAGGGAGGAAAAAAAAAGATAGTCTATGTATAAATAAAAAAAGGAAGCAAAAATATATATATTCTAGTTCCTGGGTTAAAAGGCTAAAATCCAGACATAAAAATCCAACTGGAGGGGAAGTAAAAAAAGCAAATAAGACAATTCTAACAAAAAGCAAGCCACTGCCACTAAATATCCAAGGCTCTGGTAGATCAACTCAGACGTTCCAGTATTTTCAAGGTCACTTCAATCTTCTTTCTTTCAACCTCAACTACAGACTCCAGCTATCTATAGTTTCACAGATGAGCACCTGTATAAACAATCTGCCGTGCTCATCCCACTATCTTTTTCAGTGCAAAGCTCAGAGTCCTTGGGTGTAACACCAATACACAAACAAGTAAGAAAGAAAACAATCTATCCAAGCCTCTAGATGGCAGTGCTACTTATTTTCCTTCACTTTCACTTCCCCTCATAAATCAAAAGCCAGGAACAGAAAAAAAAAGTAAAAAAAAAATTAAAAGGAAAAAAAGGTAAATCTAAATCAGAAAGAAGAGTCTAAATCAAAACAGACTTTCAAAAAGTTTGTTAAAAAAATTAAAAATTAAAAAAAGACCAGTCCAGTTTAAAATTGAGAAGCTTTGCCAAATTCCAAGTTCCAATAAGAAGGGGAAAAAAACCCTTCAGTTTAACTAGCTTAATCTCGCCGCTTGAACTCTTTTCTCTTCACTTTTAAATTAACTTTAAGTCTTTTAGGGTGTTCTCTCCAAAAAAACAATAAATAAAAGTTAATCTCACCAAACTGACACACTTTCTTCCGATCTCTTCCATTCCGGAGCTGTCCCAGCTTCAGCAGCTTGAAAAGCTGCCTCTCCACCTCCGGCAAAAAGGGCTTCTTGTGGATCGACCAGGGACTTTGCGGTGTCCCTGGGATCAGCAGGACGTGCCCTTATAAATCACCGTCTCTACAGGACGGTTTAGATCCAGCGGGACCATCCATCAGCGGGGATATCAATGGCGATCTTGGAGCATCAAGATTGTGCATTGTACCGCCACGACGCCAGCTCCGCCCTTGGTCCTTGCTTCTGATAGCACCGGAAGTATAGCTGGAAGACAGATATTTTTTTCTTTACGCCCTAGGAAGCAAACAACAGCCTCAACCTTCTGAGCCGGAGATGAGCATCTTCATCATTATGTGAACACACACACACACACACACACACCTTGATTCAAAGGAAGAAGGGGAACGAAGAGAAGGAGGGAGATAGTTCAATGGGAAGATTAGTGGGAGACTGAGATTTAGTGTGAGCCATTTGGACTGTTGGAAGAAATATTGGAAAAATCCAATACAGCTTTTAAGTATGGACAAAATGGTGGACAGGCTTTTTAACTATGAAATTATCTTTCATATTTCATTTTTCACAACACTTATTTCCTTTGAGAGTTCCAAAAAGTGCAGGTAGTTCTTGCTTAGTGACTGCCTCATTTAGTAACTGTTCAGTTATGAGATGACGAAGTAATTTTATATCCAATCCCTACATTTTATTACTTTTACAGATCTCTAAAACAAAGGAAAGCTGAAGTAAGATTGTAAGTACAGTAGCAGTTTCATTTAGCAATTTTATGATTAAATTACTGGTACCAATTGTAGCATTAGTGAGGATTATTTATATGCCTATTAACAGCTATTGCTGAATGCAGGATTTAGTTCTCATTTCATACTAAACTATATATATTATATATTATATTATATTATATTATATTA